ACCTTCCCTACTCTCCCCACCCGCCTTTCCCTCCCTGCCCTCCCTACCCCCTTACCTTCCCTACTCTCCCTACCCTCCTTTCCCTCGCTACCCTCCCTACCCGCTTACCCTCCTTACCCTTTACCTTCCCTACCCCCCTTACCTTCCCTACTCTCCCCACCCGCCTTTCCCTCCCTGCCCTCCCTACCCCCTTACCTTCCCTACTCTCCCTACCCTCCTTTCCCTCGCTACCCTCCCTACCCCCTTACCCTCCTTACTCCCTTATCTTCCCTACTCTCCCCACCCTCCTTTCCCTCGCTATCCTCCCTACCCTCCCTACCCTCGCTACTTCCCTATACTCTGAGGAGTACAGGGCACCGGAGCATGCCATTTTAGCTGTTAAATAAAATTGCCTCTGAAGAAAATTAAGCTTTGAAATAATAGTTTTGCCTAGTGAAGAATTATCGTAACTTCCCGTGTTACAACGGATATGGGCGAATCTTATTACCAGCTGCCTGAGCATTCGATTGGGTTAAACCCTTTGCACCCTATCATCAGTGTGCATATTCTCCATACTTTTCTCCATACACTTTCTTTGGTACTGACAAGGAGAATTTATTTAACAATCAAAGCTTGTTAGGTTGGTGATCATTTCCTTTATTCTCAGAACCTTATGTTTGATTCGGGTGGGGGGCGATACTGTGGGAGAAATTAGATGCTTATCAGTCTAATGAATGATTCAGGGGTATTAAAGTAAGAAGAAATAAGATGCTGATCACTCTAAGGGTTTCAAGGTTTAAGTAGTTCTGACTCCCTTCTGCCATGTTTGCTTTACAACGGATATGTCAAACTCTAAAAACCCACCCTTGACGAGTAACTTTTCTCTTCTTATACACAGTCCTATCCGCTAAATGGCATTAAAGGTCGGAGTGAAATTGGATTTTTATCTATGAAAGAGCATCTTGATCCCAAATCTTTTCAGGTAATATGATAATACAGTAGAACCCCGCTAACTCGAGCAAGATCTGATTTCCCTCGGATTTGACCCCATTTTTCCAATCACTTACTATCAGCTAACTCGAACTCCAAATCCCCGTTGACTCGCACTAATTTTACTTCCCTTTGTCCTCTTGTATTTAAAGCCAGTTTCTTTTTCGCGTAATCGCTTTTTACACTCAGTTTACCCTCAGTCGCGCTTGTCGCAGTTCTCTATTTTAGGAGTATTCAGTTACTGGCTATTGCATTTTTATACAAGGCCTTATTAACGTAAGTATTTTATTTTCCATTTCGCTATGTTTGTATTCATTTTTCTGTTTGTAATTTGTGTATTTTAGATAACTTTCATTTCTTTTTTTTTTTTAGTTTCAATTTACTACCACAACTCGCTCTGTAATAGATATTTGGGTCGGAAAGATAACGTTTTCTCAGTTATAGTCCTTATTCAGGGGCGGATCCAGGATTATTTTGAGGAGGGGGTGCACCACGAAAGAATGGCGTAACTGACTGGTGACCGGACGTTAACAAATTGTACTAGCAGAATACCACTTGTATTAGAAAGCCGCAGGTCATCTCAGGGGGGGTTGCGCCCCCCCTGCACCCTCCCCCTAGATCCGCCCCTGTTGTTATAAAGTTCTTAATCGAACTTAAAGTACGAAAGTTTAACGAGTTCGAGTTAGCGAGGTTCTAACCTACTGTACACCATTTGGCCATGTCATCTCAAAGCTCCTTTAGCTATTGGGACAGTTTACTGGTGCATACAAGACATAACGTGTTTCGTCCCACTGACCAGGTTGGCAGCATGCTCAAGACTCCTAAGTTTCCAGTCTGGGTGGCGAAGACGGGTGAACGTTACGGCGTGCTGTTCTCACTCAACAAGGAACTCGTCAATGATTGGTCAGTAGAGGGCTTATCACTCTTTTAAATTCAAACAAGTTGTAGAAGCTAAATGTAGTAGATAAAAGTATCCTTAATGGCTAGCAGAAAAGTTATTTAAGTTGAGCGTTACTATTAGCTTCGATACTCTCTATGAGTAGTTTTAGAGAAAACTCACGCCAGCCTCTCGCTTCGGCTTATCAAATGAAAACTTGCAAACAATCGTGACTTTAGGTAGTTTGCTTGCTTTTACTTTGAGTTCTCGTTGGTATCTTGTGGATGACATTTTTCTTTGTATGGTTATTTTTGGTTTTTTGTCGTGCACCACTCAGTCGCAAAGCACTTTTAACTCTAACTCAGTCATTTCCATAAGAAGGACCTGTGGCGTTGTTATACGTCGTGGCGCTGAATTTCTGTTTCGAGCCTCGGCTGCTGTTGTTGTGCCTCATTCTGAGGCAAGACGCTTTCTTCTCTCGGTGTCTCGCCTCTTTATGAATTATGAATGCATGAATGGATTACCTAGCAAACATTTCCTAATGGTGGGGAGCGGGAAGGGGCGAGGGAATGGGGGAAGGGGAAGGCCACCAGAATCAAATCCCAGGTGCACTAGACCCAGCGGATCCTCGGCAATAGACGCGCAACTCGGGGAGGGGTGGAGGTCAACAGGATTTACTTGAATCTATTGTAAACTTAGATTATTGAGTCGGGATTTCTATCGCGCGTTAGTTGATCGGGGCGAATCCCGAATATTCCAATTGTTTCCGCATAAATCTACTAGTCGTCCAAAACTCGACAACCAGACAGGCTCGTAGGTTTTATTTATTTTGTCTACAACCGCATTCTGATCTACCGCTCATTTCACTCACCACCTATCATGGGATAGGTAGCGTGTAGTGCAGCCAATCAGATTGTTGTATTTGTGATAGAGCGCTATTAGATGTATGCTAATGTACTCTTAATTGGCAGTACTTCATGAAGCTGTTTGTATTCAATAGAAAAGTAAAAACCGGTGAGGTAATGGCTTCTTTGTATGTCTTTTGCTAATTTGGTTTTCTCGTTGTCTTTTCAAAGGAAACTCGAAAGGAGATTTGAGTTGTTGTACTGTACTGGATCAGCTAAAAGAAACAATGGTGCCGACGAAAGTGTATTTATTATAGGTACCAAAGTGTTTTCAAGCCCTAAATCCCCTACGATCAACACTTTTCAAAATGATGTTTGCATTACAATCTCCTCTAAGATAATTTTAATTACCCTTAAAAACACAGTTTTTGTATCCAGCTGAGTCGATGATTGTGTCAGTCAACACTGAAGTCTTCCTTTTTCAGATACGAGAGATGTGTTCAGCCCCGATGACGAATTCGGTGAAGAACCATCTGAAGTGGAACACTGTATTAGAACCAAGTAAGTGGACTCGGCCCAGGACTTATGAGTCAGTCGCCGAAATACGTGAAACTACTGGTATTGTTATGTTGGCTGAGGGGTACTGGGTCTATTGCTAGAGCGCATTCTGAACCCTTTAAACACGAAGGCGCGCTATATAAGGAAGTCTTCCCTGGGAAGACCTGGGCTCATTTGTCACTCACCGTTGACGTGTGCGGGTCAAATTTAAATGCTGGTAGACGAACAAAAGGAGCTAATGAGATATCTATTGTTTACTTCCACCAGCATGGTGGCATGAGGTAACGTGCGAACCACCTACTTCGATCTCAAATTTACCGCCACAAATAAAGAAAGTTTCCATTGGAGAAAGGAAATACAAATCTCAAAAATTCTTGTATTGTGACGAACACATAAAACAATTTTGAGGAATGCGCCCGCTGTTCACTGCTTTGGAGTAGCTGTAGCTCAAGCTGACTTGACTCTTAAGAGTTCTACATCACACGACGGTTGATTGACAAATGGTCCAGTGGGACCTAAGGCTCCTTTTATCGCGCGCCTTCGTGTTTAACCTTGGACTGATAAGCATCTAATTTCTCCCGCATTATCGCCCCCCCCCCGAATCAAACATAAGGTTCTGAGAATAATAGAAATGATTGCGAACTCAAGAAGCTCTTGATTGTTAGACAAAATTCTCTTTGTCAGTGCTAAAGGAAACGTATGAAGGACAGTATGGAGAATATGCATACTGATGTTAGGGTGTAAAAGTTTAGGTGTCGTTACTAATGAAAACCATAATAATCACGGCGGCCAATCATAGTGAAAGAAAATATCAGTAGAAGCTGCATGCTAAGAACTCAGAATTAAAACAGGCAAATTGGCTTAAAACGCGGGAAAACGCGAGTTACAAATTCGTGACGGCCTAGCTCACTTGAGAGTTCTCTGTAGCTCGGTGGCAACGCATTGTGGGGTGGAATCCAAAGGTCTGAGGCTCGAGTCTTCGTGGGAGACCCAGATCGTTCGTTTTCTTCCGCTCGAGACAAAATAAATAACATCCCTTTAAATATCGTGTTGAATTTGAGTTTCTGACAAGGGGAGTTTTTTTCGCGATTTTTCAGGACAATCCCAGCATGCACAGAGAGAACCAGTGTAATTAAAACCAAACGTAGGATACGGTTACATTAAAAATTTCGGAAAACACTGTATAGCTGTGTAGTCTGTCTTGCAATGTTGCAACTAATTTGTTTTAGCAATTTTGTCACTGCTTGTGTATGTTGTAAAGTTTACGGGAAAAGTCATCAACGTTTCATTGTTGCCGGTATTATTTAAATCGCTGTCAAACTTCCTTTTCAGATGGCCAGGTGCACTGATTGAAGTAAAGGATTAAAGAAGCTAAACGGAAGTAAAAGGACCATTTCAGGGTTCTATTCTGCAAGGAATAGCTTGAGCTCGAGTGAGAGCAGCAGTATCTTCATGGAAACAAGCTTGTCGTTACATAATCACGCAAGGGTCACGTGATCCGTGTTAGGGCTGTGTGGCGCGGTTGAGACCTCACGAGACAAGAAATTCGCTACGAAGGAGACCTTGAAGAGTGATATCAGCTTGTATTCAAGAAGAACTCTCGAGGAAAACCCTTTGTAATTCGTGAAAACGATTTCAGTCTGAAGCAACCAATTTCAAGGTGCTAGACTTCTGTTGCCGGAGTCACTTATGCAAGGTTTCCGTTCTTTACACCTATACGGCTTGATCATGCACAGTTCTTTGTTCAGAGAAAAACGTAGCGAAAACAAAGGGTTCGATTTAGTTACTTTGTCATCTTTGCTTCCTCTGGTCCTAGATACTGATCGACACAATTTAATTTTGTTCGATACGTTTCTTGTATCAGAGCCATTTTAAAATGAGTGTTGAAAGTAATCGAGAAAGGATTGGTTTTGCTTTTATTACTCTGTGATTGGTCGCGCCTTTCTCAACCAATCAGATGCAAAACTAAAACCAATTAGGACTTGGTCGCCCACTTTTTTTCCGGGCTTCGAGCAGTTTGCTTGATTCACTTTGAGTTCTCATTGGCTAGTAATAACGTAAACCTTTGTCTTAATTGGTTGGTGGGATTACTTTGGTGTTTCGACACTTGGCTGAAAACTGCTTTAAAAACCCTATATGCGAGAACTTCTGCAATAAGGGATTCCGTAAGCTAGAATTTTTCTTATGGCGCCATATTGCGAGAGAACAGAAGGAAAGACGAGGAATTAGAGGATGACTTCGTCTCCGACCTTTTACCGCGATATAGGCGTTGTGGCCGGTTTTAATTTGAGTTTTTTTCCTTAAGGCATTTTCCTTTCTTCTGTTGTGATTACTTTGGTTTATGCTTTACGACACTCAGTCGAAATGCGCACTAATGCAATTGATTCATTTTGTGTCACCCTTTCACTCACAAGATCTGATTCGTAATTCTCCATACTGTCTGCCATACAATTCTTATGGTGTTAGTTGGGAGAATTTTTTACTGGATCAATCAGAAATCCCCTTGTTGATATTTCTTTATTCTCATTAACATGTTGGCTTAATATTGTACCAATTGATATGGTAAGGAGAAATTCTGTCTTGGTCACTGCTGAGAGTTAATGGTTAAGTGACGTCAGTAATGGCACTGGAGTTGTGAAGGTTCCTAAGCGATGTGAAAACCAACCTCGCTCCCAGGGTCTCTCATCTTCCTGCCCCCTGGAGCGAGAGAAGGGGCGGGAAGATGAGAAACCCTGGGAACGAGGTTGTGTGAAAACTTAGTTTTAAAGAGAGCAATTCTTATTGTAAGCAACCCTGAACGAAGTGTCCCGAGGCAGGGAAACGGGTTTTGTGTGTGTACATAGACGAACAAATACTGTATATGAATTATTTTTGGGTAAAGCGTACTATTTTTGTGAAGGTGGTAAACACTGCTTGAATTTCCTATTTAAATGTGTATGAATATTACATTGCTTATATAGATTTCCATGAAAAGGCAGTGTGAAAGAAAAATATTTTTGTTCAAATGACAATACAATAGTTGTGGTAGAATCCTTCTACCGTATTGAAATTGTGGCCCTTAAAATCTCCATTTACTGGTTTATCTCAAGTTCTGGCGAGACTGATCTCTCAGTTATCAAAATACCAAGATTTGACCGCGCTGCAGATTAAGTTTTTGTCTTTCATCACCAGACTCCCTCTAGCAATCGGTCGCCAGAACAAAGCAGGAGCCTGGGCCGACCTAAAGCCCAGTTTCTCTCTCAGGCTGTCCTCTCGCACCCTGACACTGGGTAAACTCTAATAGAGAAAGGTAGTTGACCCACAAGTTTATCTTTGTCACGAGCGTGCGACAAAAAACAATGTTGAGTTTCCACGAGGATTCCAACCTAAGGCCCTTAGATTATGCGGTCAATCCTTTTTTCTTTATCTGTCTATAGATCAATACACGACACTTCCAATGTCTTGCAAGCATGCTACATGCTTGGTGCATGTTAATCTTGCGTATGGCCTAGCTCACCCAGTTCGTTGAAGTTTAGTTGGTATTGCATCGCTGGGACTTCAGCAGGCGCGAGGTTCGAATTCTTGTAGAATACTCGCATTTAAAAGGTGTTATATATTGAAACAATGAAGGACTTTTTCCGTGTTTGAACACTATTTGTTTGGGTAAGGGGGAATTAGGAGAATTCTTTACACTTTGGGACCGGTCATTATTTATCACTTGGGGAGATAGGTCGGAGGATTTTGTTTGTGTCGCAATAAAATGTACCTGACCCCCCCCCCAAAGGCTGTCTGGTAATTCTGATGATTTCCCCCATTGGCAGTCAAAATTCTTTAGTCCCCCCCTTAATTCTCTGTTGGTGACGATTGATTTCCCCCTCCGTGCCCTATCAAAACTATGTGATCACCCAAAATCTTTCGAAACTCTCAGACGATAAACACTGACTGGTCGTTTTACTATCGAGAACTCTTCTAACATTCCTCGTGATAAGATAAGGCTTTATAAACGCGAAAATAATAATAATAAAAGTCTATATTAAGCACTCTAAACAAAAAACGTGTTTAGTTACAATGATATGAACTCAGCAAGTGTAAAACTAATTAACTAACTAAATTACTGACTAACTAATAAAATATGGATTCCTCTATTTCTGAAAATAGGTGCCAATCTTGAACGTCACAACCGTGTTTAAAACTTTAATACTCTCATCTAAACGCGCATATCATCTCAGTTATTTTAGAAATCTGTCTGCAAACACCTAGGAAATGGCCCCTTGTCATTTAGGCCGGATAGCGAGTAAAGCTGGCACCGTTAAGGGGAGATTAATGATATCCAACGGATGAAGAGGCGATAACACTAATAAAAGCTGGGCTAATAATGCTTTCACTACCTTTTTTATCTCAACAACACCACAGTATCACATTTTTAACTGTTGTCAAGGCGGAAGAGATGTCTGGTGATGTCATGTTGTATTCATTTTTAAATAAGGAATTTATTTTGGGCTCGTACGTCAACATCAGACAACGAATTGTTGATAGTGGAGAGAAAAATGCTTGAATGTGCCAAGTTCGATTTGAACAATCCAAATACCGACCTTCGACTTTTATCATAATAACAAAGTGTCTTTAAATATAACTTTTAAATAAGAAGTTGGTGCTGCTTATATACTTCTGATGTTTGTTTCCATATCATTGAAACGTCTAACAATTGCTGAACAATGCCAACGAAACACCGAACGCGAGATACGGGCTGGGATTGGCGAAATTTTTGGCAGACTGAGAAAAGGGTTACATTTCGATGAACTTGAAAACCATTCGGGTTTCCGGCAAGCCTATTTCGATTTGTTTCCAAGACTCGTCTCTAGCGCTCGTGAATAACCCTCGGCTTGTCTTTGTAGTCAACTGTTGTGTGGCCGTGAAACTTTCCCTTGCGATCTGTAAGTTTAGAGTCTTGCAATCTTACCGAAATTCTATCAGAATTCTATTGCCAAAGTAAGCGGCGACCTTAATAACCTCTTTAGCTAACACATAAAATAAGATTAACGGGTTTTTAAATCAGTAACGGGGGGTAATAAGCTAACTTATTATTTCATTATTTCTGCTATGATGGATTTTTTAAATAGCTGATCGATGACTTATCGGCCACTTTGCGTACGCAACAGCTTCTATCAGGATTAAGCCACTTAGTTACCATGCGTTGATTTCAAAACAGTGTGAGCAGTTGTCAAATCAAAACGTCTTTGTAAAAGTTTCTGTACGTGTGGCAATTGTCAACTATAATTAGAAAAGAATAAATTTCAAGGTATTAAAATAATTGGAATGTTCCCTTTTAAATATAGACTACGTGGCGTTTGTTGGTGAGCAATCTCCTTGTAAACTTCCGTGCTGGACTCGTTTATGATTTTGTCATCGCAACCATTAAATCCTGAACCTCTGATTCGAGAGGACAAAATGGATAAGATAGAGAACGCTACAAATAGTCAGATATAAAAATTTTGCCAGATGGCGACCAAAAACTCGATAAAGCACCTTAGCGTAGTAACAAATAGGAAGTGGAATTAGAGAATAACAGCGCAGGTTGCCGAATGAAAAAAATTCGGCGACGTGTTTCAGTCTGCCGATGTCACGACATGTCACAATTTCAAGTTCAGAATATTGACGGACCACTTCTGATAGATTCAAAACTTCCTTCTCTCTCAAGTTGAAAATGATGACCTATGGAATCCACGAAACCTCTTTCATCTTGCTGTCAGATCGACATCATTTTCCCACTCGGGGTAACAGGAAGCTAATGATAAACAATTAGTGATTTTTTTCTTTTTTCATGATCGTACTTAGAACACTGACGATGGAAAGCTGGGAAGGTGTTCGGATTGTTTAGTGACGCCAGCCACGAGCGGATATTAACACTCACTGCGATCTTGAAAATTCTGGATATCGCGCACGCAATAACTGTTTTGTTTTGAGTTTCAATTGAAATGTAAAGGAAATGTCTGGATAAGTTAAGCCTGCATTAATAGTGGCGGCTAAATCCGTTTTATTTCAACACGACATAAATTCGATGGGGTAGCTACGATTTTGTGTCCGTCTTTTGTCCGGACAATATATCTTCTTTAGATAACTTTCTTTTAAGGCTCCCTAGTGTTGAGCTTTATCTCGCTTTTTCCGCATTTTCAAAGTTCAAGTTTATGACTAGTTTTTGTGGTCGGAAATTCCATCTTCAGGCGGCAAAAATACAGAAATCATTCAAAATCCACTACTCTCTTGTGCCAGGCACCACCTGCTCTTGTGTCCTCGGGGGGTACTCGATATATTCCTGGGTGGGGAGGTGCGGCGCGGCCCCTCATACCATGACCCTGTTTAAGACAAATAGCGCTTATTTTCGTACCCAGTTTAAGACAGAATTCCGATTTTTGATACCCTGTTTAAGACATTTAATGTGCCTGGTATCAATACCAAGATCAACGGAATTCAATAGTAATTAAAATTAGAGCTTATAAAAATTTTGCTGTTTATCTTCCAAGAAAAGATATCCTGTTTAAGACAAAAATTGATAAATCGATACCCTGATTAAGACAAAAAATGATAAATTTGATACCCTGTTTAAGACAAAAATCTCGAAAAACATACCCTTGCTGGCCGCACGTCCCCATTAAGCCCTTATAAGGGAGTACCCCCCGGGTCTTGTGCGATATTTTTTGCCCGCTTTACTCCTCAAAATTGTATTAACGGCAGCTGCAAATTATCCCAAGTGATGCTCCCCATTTTTAGCGGAAACAATTTTCGTCCCAAAATAAGTTGTCAGACCAACTTGCAATATAATTCAACACCATCAATGTTGCCATTTCATGGTATGTTAGATTGAGTAGTCGAGCCAGACATAAATATCCATGACTTCCTTATGGATCCATCGTTAATTTCATCTTTATTCGCTCTTAAAATATGGCTCAAAAAATGTGGTTGGATGTTGAATAACTACAACAGCACAAACGTACGTCAAAACCATTTTCAACTTGTGACTTAATCGAAGGTAATCAGCTCCTACTTGCTATTCTCGTTAATTCTCAAGAGCGTTCGAGATCTGTTCTCTCCTATAAAGAAGAATGGGAAGCTCTCTCGTTGAGGGAATACTGACTTATTAAAATTATATATTTATAGAATAGAACTGCAATAAGAATAATTTATGTTATGATCTTGAGAGTGAGAGTAACTGAAAAATCTCTAATGTCATATAAATCGAAAACAGACTCGAGCATAAGTTTTAACTATAATGCGAAATTGTTTAAATGATCACTTGATATGATCAGTTGAAAAGCTACCCAGGTTTCGATTTTCGAGTTTGATTTTCCGATGCGAATGACATTCTGTATCGTTGGTGCTGGTGCGTTCAACTACGTAACCCTAAAAGTGACTCGTGATAGCATCTAATTTATTTTTGAAGCAACACTGCTTAATCAAACCTTTCTGTGATGATAATGAAGAAATTTAGTTTAGTCCATTTTCACTGCATTAAGTTTTTTTTGTAGTGGGGAAGGACTAGAAAGGAACATACGAACGATACGTGCTAGTCCACCCTCCCACCCATCCCACCCCAGGGGAGGACAAATGATCGCTAGCCTAAGATGCTCCAAATTGTTAAAAAAAATTCAGTTCCCCGCTTTCAGTTGTATAAAAAATGCATAGAGAACATTATCTCTATCTATCTGTCTGGATCAGTTAATGCGAGGACGTCGTCATAAATTGTTTACAGGAAACTTATATCATTAAACGATCTTTCCCTCCTCCGTGAAGAAACCTAGAACTTGGAGTTTAGGAGGAATAATAACTTAAGAAAACGCGCGCGTTCTAGCTATGTTTAAGATGGTGTCAATGATAATCATGATGATAATAATAGGAATAATGAAGTGTTTCAAAATGTAATAACTCGTGAACAGAGGTTTGTGTTCTTGTTCATCCATGGACCTTTCTCACGATCCGGGTGCATACTCGCCATGTGGGTCATGAATTCTGATTGGTTGTCTTTAAACGTGGCTCCACACTCTTCGCAAACGAACATCTTCGAGCGTCTCTCGCGGAAGCCAAACTTATGCACGATGCCGTGGACCCGTGTCTGATGTGCCTCCAACGAGCATCGTTGAGTGAACGACTTGTCACACTGCTCACACTTGAATGGTTTTATTCCAGTGTGTGTTCTTACATGACGCTTCAAGTCAAAGGTGTCATTGAAACCTTTGTCGCAGTAGGAGCAGGTGTAACGTTTATAGAATGAATGTGTTTTTAGGTGTTGGTTGAGCTTGCGTCGAAGGGGGAAGGCACTATTGCATATTTCACATTTATGGATGTGAGTCCCGTTCGGGGATTCCTTTTTGGCATTTTCATGAGGTTTGCTCGTTAAGAGTCCAAGTTGACTTTCAACACCAAACCCTCCATTTTTCGTCATCCAAAAGGAAGGGCTGGAAGTTATAACAGGTAGTTTTGGGTGAACACTCCCCTGTGGTATTCTAGAGGATTCTTTGCTGAGAAGCCAAAGCGATGAGGAATACGAAAAAACCTTGTCGTCTGACTTTTCAACAACGTTCATTTTGACGTCTTGGTGGAACTGCAAAGAGTCAGAGTCTTTTCTTTTCTTTAAGTCGATCGCGTCTTTGTTAGGGCTTACTCGTTCTGGAGATCCGAAAGAAACAGGAGAGAATTTCCTATCTTTAATTTCCACCGGGCTAAAACGTCTAGATAAATCAATATTCTCGTGCCCAAGTGTCACAAGTTTATGCAAATTAACCTCTTTGATAGTACTGTGATCTGGTGAACTTCTTGTTTCATCCTTAGAAATCTGTTCTTCTGTCCTCGAATTCCTTTGAAAATCTCGAACGCGATCTTCGTCGTTAGAGAAACTAAACATAGATTTGTTGTCATTGGAATTTTCCTTTTTCAGTTTTGGACTAGGCGTGCCCTTTTTAAACCACTCCACTTGGTTTTCAGAAGTCAGCTTGGCCTGGAAAGTTTTCCTGGCTTCCTTCTGACTAAAGACCGCAGCTTCCTCTTTGGCTGCACAAGAAACCTCTCCTTCCCTCTTTGTTTTGAACGGCCTGAATTTATTTCCTTTAGATCCAGTCGCATTTCCACTGATATCTTCCTTTGGTGCAGTCTTTAATACGTCAGGAACCCACATAGAGCTTGTTACACTTGCATTCTGTCCCCACAACGAACACGGATCATTATAATTGAACATTCCGTCTGCCAATCTGCTCGGCACAGCAATGCGCCAATCTTTAGGATCTTGATGGTGTTTAATATTCCTGGGGTTGTGTTCAGATTCCATACGATTTGTGACCACTTTGCCCAGTAATTTTCTTGACTCTTCCATATGTTGCATGTTACTCGCTTGGTTCAACTTCTTTTCCTGTCCGCTATTTTTATCTTTATCTGACTCTTGATGTTTCCCCTCTCCGTGTTCTTGGCTTTTCCAACATTTTTTCCACTTGGCCGCAGGTAGATCAGATGTTTCGAGATGCCAATAACTTTGAGGCGACAAGATTTCCCTTTCAGTATCCACAATTTTTCTCTTCCTTGACTCAAGAACCGCTTTCTCAAAAGGGTGAAAATGAAGAGGGTTCATTTCAATACGCTCTCCGTTCGTCCTCGAATCGCGAAAATTGAAATTGGAAAGATGATAGAGTGGTCCATTAGTTAGTCTTGATTTCCAAAACGCTGGCGCAGAATCTAAGAGCCAAGGCGGGATGCTTTCACTATTTCTGATTGCTCCTAGTATTTCTACATGTTTTGGTATCTTTTCGTCGATCATGTTTAGTCTGTGTGCACGTTCTCTGCTTAGTTCATTTGGTGGAGAGTGGCCATCTTTGAACAAGTTCTGCGGCAAGACTTGCACCTTTAGAGGCGCACAACATTCGGCGAGAGAATTACCTTGTGTTGGCAAAGGTGGGAAGAAAAACATGTGGGGCACGAGAGGCCAATTTTCCGCTAACCTTTCAGCTGGTCTTCCGCTATAAACTGCGGAACCGTTTCTGGCAGCATCCATCATCTCTCCAGGTGGATCCTTTGTGATGATGTGGTGTAACGTTCTCTGTGTGTCCTCTTCGTGCTTCCCGTGATTCAACATGGAGCGCACTGTTGTGGGAGACTGATCATGACTTGGCTCTCGTTTGTCTGTAACAAAAATTTTTACCATTAATAGTTACCGAGGGCCCTGGAGGAACATTCTTCAATAGAGGGGCCCGTTTCTCGAAAGCCACGGTAGTTTTTGGGGCCCCAAGTGTTCTTAATTCGAAATCCTAAGATGAGAAGAATTGTGGTTCTTTGTTCCAAAAACAAGTGCCTTCCTTTTTAATTTACTAATATTTTAAATGTTTGAATTTCAAAACTGTTTTCAGTCGATCGAAAGTGCGTGCATTCTTAAAAAGACCTTTGAGAAATTGAGTGAGAGAGCGGAACCCTAGAAAACCCTGATAAGGTTGCGAGTCGGGATTCGAAGTACTCAGCGCTTTGCGCTTCAGCGAAATTGAAACTTCCTTGAGACATTTCTTTTTTAAATCTCGACTTGAATGCAAGCGCTTAGGGACCAAATGCTTTAATAATCGCTCGTACGATTAATTTGCTCTGGTATTTGAGCATGCATGATGTTTTTGTTGTTGCTTATCTCAAGTTTTAAGTGAATTGTAATTAAAAGAATGACGCGGCACTTCTTAAATGTAACGGGGCAGATTAGCTAACAAAAACAATTGACGGACTGTCAAACATACATAAATTCTTTCGTGAACAAAATCCCAATTTATTATCTGTTGACTTCGAAGATGAATTATTGATGAAAACACAGTAAAACGCGTTATCCTATAGGCAGGTGTGCACTTCCTATCAGAATGATATCTGAATAGAAATTGAACGTTGTCAAATTGAAACGAAAATGTAAATTTAGGTTGAATTGTTGTCAGCCGAATAACGCCCAATATGCTGACAAAACAACTTCAGCAGTAAAGCGGATTATGCCTAGGAAAGATGCGATGTTTTCGCGAATTTAGCCAAAAGGGTGTAACGAACATGTCAGATATATATATATATACATGGTCCTTTTAAACATTAAACTTTCAGAAATGATTCAGTTGAAACTGAACGGTTTGTGATCAGTGAGTGCAAGAAACGGAAATTACTAAAAGTTGTTTAGTTTGAGAGTGCTGTGTGCTTTTGGTGGCCAAACAAAACGCTGTCATGTCGCTGCCCGAACCAGCTGTAGAAGTCTGGCAAGCATTTCGTGTTTATGTAGCAATTTCGTGACATCCTAGGTAATTTTAAGCAGAAGTTTTTCTCGTAGACTTGCCCCTGTGACCTCAATTTGGCTAAATCTTGTATGTCAGAGATAACCCCTCAGAAAACAAGGTTTCCTAGAGGATTAACTCTCCCGCCCGTTTGCTTTGTATCCCAAAACACGCGATTGTTTTGCGTATGGATGATTCTCGGTTTTAATTCAACTCTTCGCCACCTATGAGACAAAATAACGTTACATCACTCAGAATTACGCGCAAGTTTACTGATATGAAATTCCCGATAAATTTAAACACTTCAGGCAATTGTTTTTAATTGCAGTTCAAAATTTCATCGTCTTCCAAATGATAATTCATTGTGGCGAGACCAAGTTTCCGGTTCAAGTCTCTGCAAAGAAAATGAAATTGCTCATTTAGCGTAAATTACGGTTTTCGAGTAGAACAAAAAGAAGACAGGCTTTCATTTGATTTGCTTCGTTTTGAAGCCTTAAAAAGACGCGTGCAACATCCGTGAGCAAACAAAGCGAACCTCGAGATGTCAATAGCAATTTCCATTAACTTTTTTATGTAACCATCTTTATTTCGCATTTGAATATGAAAGCCCATTGAAAAGAACTATTAAGTTTCGTTTGTCAATTAACTCGAAGAATAGATCTCCAATTTTCACTTTTGTCTCGATCATTTACAAAGGTTTGCAATCCGTCAACCCGATCGATCTGAGAAAACTCTTAACCGAAGCAATTTTCCAATTTCTCCCAAACCAATTTGCGTGCAGAGTAAAATATCGCAGAATTAAAAAAATAATAAATTCGTGACGATCCGCGGTTATGCCACCACTAGCGTATAATAAAATGTGAGCCCCTGGGGTGGCAATTCAGTTATGTTCTTTGGCAAGCGCTTGCCTTTTGTTTCATCAACAGAATACAAAAAGCCCGTGTTAGCACAACCTGTTAAGGACTTGTAGCGCGCTTTAGTAATGATTGGATTCCACGATACCCTTGAAATAATTATGATGAGAACGAGATTTCCGTGTATTTGGAGTGGCTTCAGCGATTAAAATCGAAAGAGCTTGGATATTTGTGGCAGAAAATTGCAAGCTATTGACTAATACGAAACAAAGAAGAAGAAAAACATGTCGCTATTGTCCAAAGTTGAATCCTTCGTGACCCTATTGCCCTCGAGGAAAAACAAGACCTCAGCATGCGTATTTTAGAAAACATCTCGTTGCGTAAAAAAAAGATTGCGGATCGAAATGTTTATACGATTAAATAATCGTTCAGCAAATACTCCCCGCTTTGAGTACAAGAAATCGGTCGCAACAAACAAATTTATAACGGTGTAACAAAAAATCTGTAAGCAAGATTACAACCTACCACAAGCGATTTCTAAATACATTGTACCAGAAGAATTATGATCAATCGAAACTCGCTACCACCGTAGAAAAAATATATTTTTATACTTTACTCACCAGAGGACGTGAGATTATTTTCTCCGGCTTCGTCGAGTCGGCGTTTCGCCTTTTTCACGAGGAACGACTTTGGCATGGCAATATCACAAGGACCTTCTCAGAAGAAACCAATCCAAAAATCGAGACAACGAAACAACCAACTCTAGTTCGAACCTGACAAGTTGAATCGCGTTAAAATTCAACGCTGATGAAATTTCAGCCCGAAAAACCAACGAGGAGCTTTATGAGACACGTGCTGGTCTGTGCGATGGTGCGGACCATTTGTGACCGTTAGAGGTGCGAAGTAAATTTATAGCTCATTCGCTTTAGGTAGCGTTCAGTGGGTCATGTGATAGGGATTACGGCCTATTACCCTGATATCATGGTATCTTTTGATTACGTCTTTTGTCCGCTCTTGGCACGAACAATAGTCCAAGAAGTCAACAAACACAATACACAATACACGTCTCTCTGAGGGCCTTTATATTGGTGTTGTCATTTAATTTGGCAGTTCAATTGGGCACTTGTTACGAGCTGTAAATAGCAATTTTATTTTCAGCGGAAGTGATTTGAGGCAACGAGGCGAGAAAGAGTTTTCGCGGCAGCGTTAGACGAGAAGTGTAAATTGGCGTGTTTTCAATCGAAAATTCTAAGCATTTGAACATTGTCACAACCTGTTGGTAACACGTTTTGTACCAGATAGAGTTAATTCCACTTAAAAGTAAATCGGACCACGATATTATTTTTTTCCATTCGATGATAAACAGAGAGGCCATGGTGTCTTGATTTGCCATTGAAAACAAGATCCGAGACCATATATGACGATTTTCCGCAATGTGATTTGCGTCAATTCACCCACTCAGTCGGACCAGTAAAGGAGCTTGCCGCTAAATATAGACTGCACGAGTAAATTTAGTCCGACGGCCATGAATAATACCATTATACCATCGCGTCAGATGAAACGTAGTTTAGAAACGGCTTAACTCCACGGGTATTGAAAGACTTAATGTTGTTTTCGAAGCTGGGTAAAGAAAACACGGGCATCAGTTTATGGCTATTGTTATAACGAAACATTCATGAGAAGTTTTTATATTGATTACACAAAACGCTAAAACTCCATCAAGCAAAACGAAATTTTACATGTAAATCAAGTAGAAATTCAATCTAAAGCGATCTGCAATTATGCCATAAAAAATAACAAAGTCACATGAAACTACCATTATTGAAAACCGCTTAGGCTTTCACCTAAAGCGCGAAAATCGATCGAGAGCAAATTTATATATAGTTTTGTAGTTACTAGCTCATCCATCGATATTGTTTTCTTGACATATACAATTTAAATACAGTATCACAAACCCAGACATTCTCAATTAAAGTTTTACACTATTTAGGATCACAAATATATTTAACACTTTGAAAGTGATGCATGCAATTATTTTTAAGTGAGGAGGGGAAGGACATAATTTTGGGATTAAATTTACCCCTTCATGATAACGTGAGTGAAAGATTTAGCTTAGTTCGAAGAGAAGCGCTGTCGATTGTCACATGGCTAAGAGCTAAATGAAAAAGTATTCGATCAACGCTCAGTTATGTCAAATTTTGCTATTACCATAGTTTGTCTTAAAGCAATCAATATATAAAGGAATACTCGATAAGAAAGTAATTCGACTCGATCAATAAAATAAAACTGACATGCAATGTTATAATTCATCAAAACAATGAGAGCATAGATGGCCTACGGCAAAAGTCACAGGAAGTGTTTGCGCTAAAGGTGGCCGGATGAAAATTCTATTTTTTCCTTTAATATCCTTTCTTTTGTTGTCCTTCAAGATACTTAACTGATATTCGTCGAAAAAGAAGACCATGAAAATTCATCATTTTTGTCTAAGTCTTAATTTCTCTTTCTCTGATATAGCACTTAAAGGAATAATGAGAACTTGGAGACATGTAGAACTTGATAATCTTAATTTCGTCGATTGATCTCTCTCAGCAAATTTCTTTATTTGCGAGTGAAAGAGTGTTCAAATTTGAGCTGAAAGCCTGAGTGGTACCTAAATAGTGCGCAGCCTGAACACAAAATGCAACAAACGGATGCACAGAGGAAAGGTATTTCTACTCCGTAGTTCAAGGTAAGTAACTCGTAGGCATGCCCAGGTCTGCCAGGAGTTAATCTTGTCTTATAAAGGAACTAGCCCCAACATTTCCCTCCAGAAATCGTAATCGTTACTCGAATTAAGTATGTGTCACGTATGGCTTAATAGGTAAAATAACATGGGATTTTTGCGCGCTAAAAATGTTTCTAAACACGCCTTTTTTTTCGTCTAGCCTCGTCCGAAAAAGTATATCACTTGCACGTTTAACGGTTGCATGTCTTTTTCCTGTCGCTTGATGGTTAAGCTTCAAACTGAGTTTGAATCCTTAGCGGGACATCACAGGTTTTCTTTGTCTGTCCTCTCTTGTGGCAAATGAATTGAACTCCTCTATCTATTATATCTATGGAATAGAAAGGGGATAGAATTCAACACCATATGGTTTTTGGATTCGTCTTTCTGCAAAGCCAGCCAAAAACATAACCTCATCAATATCATTCGAAAATAACGCGAACATCGATACTTGCCAAAAATATGTTTTGCAGACTAGAAAATTGAAGAAAAAAAATCATAGGTCACCGCGAGGGAACCGTGAAAATCAGGAAACATTGCATAGATTTAAGGCATGCGAATATATATTTGTTAGTTTTTAAATAGCTAGAGGAAGACGCAAATACTGATGTCGATATTTAGCCTGCATGTTCAAGAGTTTTCTTGTGGTAAAAAAACAGGCTCCACATAGCGACGTGTGTGTGTTCGGATAAACTCAGGTCATTTTTTTTTTTTTTTCACCTTGGATAATGATCAGCGTGTTACGCTTTCAAATCCTGTGTAATGCGCCGGCGGCATGCGTCAAAGTGCGCCGTGCAACAGTGTTTCGCAGGGCCTGGGAAAGAGTGATATTTATCTCGGCTACAGGGAAAATGGAAGGCGAACGCTGTGTTAATTGCGGCTAAGCGTGTCACTCCAGCTAAGAAGAAAAAGAGGAAGTAGAATTTATCGCAAGCAGAAAAATGGAGCATGTTTAGTCACGTAAAAGTTCGCCAAAAGACTTTCTTTGAATGAGTACATTCTTTGCGCTATTAAGTACCTTTTTTGAACACAGCAAACAGAAACTTACATAGTTCTCGTGACACCTTCGTACCAAAAGTTGGTCCGCAGTCCGAAGAGTATTTCGGCGAAGGTCAGACTCTACTGGACATAAAGAAAAATAAGAAATACTGCTTTGATCAAGAACCTGTATATACTTATTATCATTCTTCGCTGTTATCACATCATCATTTGATATCGGTCCGGACAAAACTGAATCAGTAATTATTAGTAGATGTATGTGTATTTTCCGTTCATAAATTGTATTTTCTTTCTTATATTGCCATTTCCCGCGTCACAAATGAATCATATAATACTGATGACTCTGAGTGACTGGTGTCCCGCATAGCTTATGATGAACGAAATTAAAGAGATCTTTTCCATTTGTTATTTCACTTTCGGTTCTGTGTTGCGCTTACTTAGACTATGCACGCTGTATTTTGTCTCTGGTCTTTGAATTACCCACTACATCGTGCTGAATTCTAACAAAACTCTTGTTTGCAATGATGAAAGATACCAAAATGTGGGTTTGAAAACTTGAAATAATTGAATTCAATTTTACTGAGAAATACTTTAAGTTCATGAACTTCTGTTATGCTGCAGAAGTTAGCGAGTTGGCTTGTGTCCAATTTTAAAAAGAAACTCTTGTATGTGGCAATTCATGACCAGCTATGGAGCACTCGTACTCACTTCTGATTCGCAGTTGATACACATTGAACTTCCTTATCTTACCAATAAAAGCTTTTACCGAACAATGCTCGGTTTGTAGAAGTATAGTTTAGATTTTCACTCAGTTCTTAGTGTTTTAATCTTTACAGTTGATAAAATAGTGTCAAAAGGCATGCATATTTGCTGCATAATTGCCGAATACATACCGAGAATGAAATATGACATTTGCAGGCGACAATTTTTGGCAAAAAATTAATCTCAACTCAAGTTCAAACTTTCCTTAGTCAGGATATTCCACAACACAACTCCCTATGATATGCTTAATGTTGCATTAGGCTAAATATAACCAGTCTCCTCTTTAGGGAGTTTATCTCGAATTCGAAAAAACTACCCGCTTTTCTTGAGTTATGTTCCTGTGTGCTCCTCGATCTTTTAAGTTTCCTGTTGACGTTGAAGTTTTACAGAAACATCACATATCATAACATTAAGGATAACGGCGTGAATTACACTTCCTGCAGAACAACATTTCAGTCATTTCCTTGTTTTTTTCATATTCTCCCGTTTTTAAGCCGGGCGGGTTAGAGAGGAGATGACCCATATTTGATAAACAAAACTGGGTTACGATCGATACAAATCTTTACGAAAATCGAGTGGAATACAGCCCTCAGATAAAGAAGGTATAAATCACCTGACTAACTAGGAATGATGGTAGTTTCTTGGCACACAGTTTTCTCAAGACCGTTACAAATAAAGATGAAACTGTTGGTTTGAATCAGGGAAATGAGACTCTCAAAGAGAAAAACTCAGTCCACAACTTCCTTTCCGAAGTGGCAAATATAGAGTAAGAAACTCTTGCAACCAGACACCTATTTTTAGCAAAGGTACAGAGGAGACAAAAAGACATGTACTTTTTTTTAAGCAAGTCCTTGTTGTTGTCAGTCTCACTTTAATGGCAAAAACTGTTCTTATTCTTCCGCTGTGTTATCGATGCGGTGACCCGACTGCCTCGCCGCCATCTTGATTTTCACGCCCGAAAGATCCCGGGGCCGAGGCAGGATGTGTCATCAAGGAAACGCACTATTCCAAGGGAAAAACCGTAACCAAAATAGATTTGATGATGGAAATATTGGCAATATTAATGACATTATTACATCAGATCGGCGTTTTTTTAATGGTTGTTTTTCTTATGTATCGTGCACTTTCCCTATCACTAATATATCTTCTGTTTGTTTCTAACGACATTTACCAGAGTCGCTGAAACAACATATCCCATCCCAGAAATACTTTGATGAAGGAACAGATGGAATTTCTGACTTGACACAAAATATGATTTTGTCTATCACGAATTGGCTAAAATGCCCAGATATTTTGTTTCAGTTGCCTTGACTTTAAGCTGTTTTTGTCTGGCATGAATTAATTAGAATGCACAGATATTTGGTTTCAGTTGCGTTGTGTTCTGATGAGTTCTCCGAGGCCTTAGCTTGTTATATAAGAAGTCACACGCGCGTATAAACTCACTTAAATAGGGATAAGGTTTAAGTGTTCGCTCTGAAAGAGCAATACTGAATTTGATATTGGCACTTTGCACTTTGTTTACGTTGCGAGACACGTCGACCAGGGCGAATATATTTAAATTACCGAGACCATGATTGTAAGCTGCCTAGTTGAGGTAAAACTGAAGGCAAAGAAAGTATCCAATCTTGTCCAAATCCTTCCGAGTGTATGTCTGTTTCCTTCAGCCTTTTATGCGTTGCAGAGATGTAAAACAACTAAGAAAAATGATTTTCAATTTGCAAAAGAAGGACGAACATCGAAAATTCCTCTTTATATTTCGTTTCAATATAAATATGATGTACTTTTGAAAAAAATATGTCATCTGAGTTCTGTATTAATGATAGGTAATGAAGCTGGAATAATTAATAGTAACTTTGGCATAATAAAACAAACAGTCGTCTCGAAAAGTAGTAGATAATTTTCAGTAATTGAACCATTGTTATATTTAAAGGGTTGCTGAGTGTTTTAAACGGAAAAGCCGTAGGCATTGAGCTGGATGTAAGATTTTAAATCAGTGTCACTAGAAAAAGAAGATGCAGATACAAGTTTTCTTTGGAATATGTCAAAACGGTTAACAATAGGGATTAAAATGGAAGATTAATAGACAAAATGCAGTGTATGGAAACGATAGATATGACGCGCTTACTCACTCTTCATTTCTGTGATCCCAAATAATTTTTCGAAGACTTAAGTTTGGGTCATGAAGGCACAGATGAACTTAAAAGATATTTGGCATACGAAAATGAACAAGCTCTGAAAATACTCAGTATTTCCCGACATGTGTACGAACCTTTCTAAATATGTCCCTTGCCGCTCATTCGACCTAAACGAATTTAAAAGATAATGAGGATTTAAAAATAAATTGGATATTATTTACTGCGGTGTATGAGATATTTTAAAAGTTTGTACGTAAGCGGTTTTTAAGATGTTTTTTTTAAAAAGCTTGTACGTAAGCAAAATGTCCCTTGCTGATGTGAGTATGAACTATGACGTCATCACGATACGTCACAGCTTATCAAGCTTGACTGTTACGAGACAACGAGTCGGTCGGAATATTATTTTTTGAATTCCAGTGATATTTTTACTCCTGGTTCTCTCTGTTGTTAAAAAACAGTGTCTTAATCTGTTTATATTTTGCATCACAGGTTGACCTCAGGATTTTCGAGAACAAAAGAAGTCGAAGGGAATTACTGAACGATCGACCACTAGCCTTGTTTGATGAGTCAGAGAATAATCGACCTCTCTGGAGAAGGAAACAGAGAACTGGTATAAAACTGGGTCTCTAATCTGGAAAAGAAATAGTTTTAATCGGAACAAGTTCTAGCAGGAGATTAGCATGCATAGGGTCCTTACGCATGTTTTGATAAAATAATGTTTTCCAAGATTTAATTCGAACAGAGAACAGTCACGACATCTGCTTTACTTAGTTGTCTGATTTCCCGCGCTATCTAGCTGCGAATGACACAGTCTGTTTAGTAACTTGGTAATTTTTCGTCAGGAAAGGGAGGGGAGGGAGAAGGGAGGGGAGGGAGAAGGGAGGGGAGGGGGGGGAAGAAGTGGATTTAGGTTTATGTGGAAAATATATTTGCCCCAGTTCTGCAAAAGTCGATCAGAAGTATAGCTGGACTAACACCGTCCAGCTACAAAGTAAAGAATATTGAATAAAAATCAATTTAAATTTCGTCCGTTCTGGTGTTGTTTGAATGCTAGCGGCAAGATTTCACGGCTGATTAAACAACGTTGACATGTGTTTTTTTAACGCAATTTTTGTTTGTAGAATCAGCTTGTAAGATGGCGGAAAGAAGAAAAAACCAGCCCAATACAAAGAAATAACTGTAAAGCCCTACTGAGGCAAAAACTTAATTTTGTTTACACATAAGTGCAGGTTGATAAAAGATTTATCATCAGAACATTTTGCAACAAGGTCAACAGAAGTTTTAGTACTGTTAACCCTTTCCACCCTGACATCAGTTTGCATATTCTCCCCACTGTCCTCTATACATTTCCTAAGGTGCTGACAAGGAGAATTTGTTTAACAATCAAGAGCTTCTTTAGTTGGTGATGATTTCCTTTATTCTCGCAACATTTGATTCAGGGCTGATTTTGTGAGGAGAAATGAGATGTTGGTCACTCATAGGGTTTATAGAGTTAGCAATGAGATCTGGTTCGGTTCTTGAACGAAAACACTCATTTTTTTATCACAGAGCTTCCCCCACAAAATGATCCAGCAGAAGACCTAGGGAAACCTGGCAAAATCTTGGGTAACCTGGCATGGACTTGCATCGATAACTAGAGAAATTGCAGCAACGCGTTACCTTGCCATGTGCTTCTGTGACGGAGATAAGTTCGAGTCTGTGTAGAGACATCTTAGCCATGCAGCAGACTCTTACTTCTCGCTCATTAACCACAGGCAGGCGTTGGAACAGCGTACACATTTCAACCCTCACATTATATTTTACCCTTCACAACCTAATATCAGTATGCATGTTCTCTATACTGTTCTCTGAACATTTCTTAAGTTATTGATCAGGAGAACTTGTCTGATAATCAAGAGCTTAGTGGGTGATCTCTTCCTTTTTTCTCGTGACCTTATTGTTTGATTCGAGGGTGATATTGTAAGGAGAAATTAGATGCTAGTTACTCTTGGCAGAAATGAGCTCCATATTTTTATGTTTATTATTTTTATTGTTATTATTATTTGTGTTGCGTCTTTTGGAAAGAACATGGATATAGCTTGCCTCTCTAATGTATGATTTATTTTCAGTAGCTGAAAGAAGATGTTATTCTGGGCGAGTCTCATAACTTCAAGGAATTGTGTCAGACCGCTGTGTAATTCTTTGAAATTAATTGCTATGAATTGCTTCAGTTGCGTCGCTGACGGTTTTCTGGCGCTCGAATTAGTAATTCAAAGGCAGTGAAGCTGCGAAAATAAAAAAAGGCGCACACAAAACTGCCAAGCGCGAGGGTTTGAGATTCTTTTTTTTCGAACCAGGAGATATAATCGACCGGTTATAATTCGAAATTTGAAAGAGTACAGCTGTAAAACTGTCGCTCGAAGGATTCCAGACCGTTACCACGACAACGAGATGACACAACCCCTTTCAGTTCTGAGTAATATTGTATTTAAGGCTCGTACGTTGCACTGAATGGCAGATGGTCTTTGCCCTACGATTGATTTTCAATCAAAGCTAGAGAAACTCACTTCGCTTTTGAAAGACTGAAATAAATTGCCATCCCTTATCAGCGATTTCTTTAGTTCATTCACTCTTGCACTAGGTGACACGTGCACTAACCTCGACTTGGTCAGAAAAAGACGGGCGTTTGCCACTCATATAAATCACCAAACTGTCATTTCTCCGACAAACCCTCCCCTTCACCCTAGAGGGCGTCAGCTTGTAGAGCCTATTTAAAAGAGGCTGGGGAGTTGCCAACTCAGTGGCTGCCCAAGTAGAAAGCTTTCGGTGCATTCACAAATGTAGAACAAAACGTTAGAGAAAATTGTTGAAAATATAGCATCCCTTTCAACTGAATGCATTTTCTAATTTATGTTTCACGAATAAAAATTTATGTCGATGTAAGTGGTTCGATTACAAGACATGTTATGCAACGTAGAAGCGCATTTCACAAGCGAAGAAACGAATGGAAAACTCGTTTTGAATAATTACAAGAACTGCTTGCGCAGTAAATGAACGCAGCGAATGTTTATGAATTCATAAAAGCGTAACTAATGTAGTATTTCAGTCTAGAATAATATTTATACATCTGTTTCTCAGATACAAATATCGTCCATAACATGGCACAAAGCTCCTAAATACGATTGATATTTCTGGGATAGAATATTCTTAGAATTCTTAGATAGAAGGCAGAACTTTTTAATGTTTTCGACTAAAGAAAACTAGGTATTATATTTTTAGTGATAATCTGGATGTTATCAGATAAGCAACTCCCTCTATCATTACCAAGGTGGACATGGTCACAGAGTTAGTTAAAAATATTAGAGACAGCTATGCTAGGAAAACTCAACTTGCAGAGGTCCTTATCGACTCAACTTACCAGAAAATTACAATTCAACGAAACACGAGGGCGAACGCGTAACGGGAAAATTTCGAAGCTGGAATTTATCATATTTACATTAAAAATGAACGACACAAACCAACGTACGTAATTTCAGTGAAGCTTTGTTAAAAAATTGTCACATAGGGAGAACGTGTAATTCTGAAGAGAAACGTTTCTTGAGAGAAAAAAATTTCATCGATACCTTCAAAAGATAAGTTGAATTCAGTTTTTCAGCCTTGTGTTGTACTTTTCCCGAATTTAATTCCACCTTTGTAATAAATTTCCAGTCTTCTGGTGTTTCAAACCCTTATTGTTTTGAAATTGCTGTGATCTGGTAAGCCCTAAAATCGAAGCTTTTTTTTTCTGTTCTTAAGAGCCGTTCATATTGATGTAAATGAACAAAGTTGTGTATACGATTGCCGTTTATATTTAGATCAAAGAAGTTCGCAGTCTCAATGATTCTGCATAATCATTCTTTTTTTGTGATTGCTGTGATCTAGTGAATTTGAAATCTACGAAATTCCCTTTTCCTGAAAAGCCACGAGTTATGAGTAAAACAGACCCTTGGTCACTGGCGTTCGAAGAATAACGAGAATATGAAAGAAATTGCACCATATGTTTTTTTTTTCATTAAGACTGCTGTTGTTAAAATGTATCTTTTGATATAAGTAATCCATGGCTAAAAAAGTGCTTTCTGATGCCTGTTATCTCTGGTTACCGTACCTTCACTAACAGTCACCCTTTAATTTTGGAACGAATCCCCCGTTTCTTCTTGCTCTCATGATTTTTTCAGTCTCGGGGTGAAACTCGTGGAGATGCTTCATAAAATCGGAATTTTCCGTAAACGTGCCGCCGCAGTCCTCGCAAACGAACAGCTTCGAGCGTCTTTCGCGGAAGCCGAACTTGTGTACTACGCCGTGAACGCGTGTTAGATGCGCCTCGAGAGAACATCGTTGCGTGAAAGATTTATCACAGCGGCTGCATTTGAACGGCTTTATCCCTGTGTGCGTCCTAATATGGCGCTTCAAGTCAAAGGTATCATTGAAACCTTTGGTACAGAACTGGCAATGGTACCGCTTATAGAAAGAATGAGTTTTCATGTGGCGATTGAGGAGACGTTGAAGGGTGAACGAACTGTTGCAAATTTCGCATTTGTATTTCGTCTCCTCGCTTTCGCTGCTCTTCCTCACCTGGTCCTTGTTTTGCAGATTTGTTAGACATTCTTGCTGCTGGTGAGAAGTTAAAAACGGGTGACTGTGAATAAAGAAATGGCTGCCATTAAACTGCGGGGCGGATACCGGCTGTGGAATACTCGGACACAACGGGGAATCACGACGGCCTTCCGAAACATGCCGAAGGTTCAGCGACAGTTCTCGAAGCCCATCCAAGGATCCACGAACGGGTATTGATTCGGCTATGGACGGGACCCGATGCTCGTGGAAGTTCACGACGCCAAAACCGTTCGCTGTCAGTGGAAAATGATGTCTTTGATTTAGAGAAATGACAGAACGCTCGTGCTCTGTTGGATGAGAATGATTCACTTTTGAAAAGCCGTTTCGCGGCACAGAGCTGATGAGTTTCGGAGGTGGAGGAAGGTTTTGTAATTCGTATCTTGAGGTTATACTACTCCACCAATAAATATCGTTACAGCCGCTCGATCGCTCCAGTTTCGCGTCTATCTTTTCAACTGGTTGGACCGCAAATGAATTTCTTTCACCGTCAAACTTACAAACAGAAGTTGCCATTTCTTGCTCTATTTCCTTGTCCAATAAACTTTCCTTACGGTGTTCTTTGTCTTTTTCTTCCTCGTCCATCTCCATTTCCCCTGGCAAAGAAAGTTCTTCATCTGAGGTTGGAAAAAAAGAAAAACAGAAAAAAAAAAACACTTCACACGTTATATTCGTCGTTCATGGAATTCACTGTAGTTCACCGCTAGAGAAAACTGCGGGAGTTTTCAAACAAAAAAAATGTTTTTGAGAAGTTATGAATCATGAATAACACCACGACGGCAGTTAGTTAATAGCTAAGCTTTCTAAATTACATCAAGCGTGAAAGAAATCCTTCGTTCGAGAACACTGTTGCAATTTGACAAATTTTTACTCCTACCCTAAAGTAACATGGTTTATTAAAGAATCATTGGGCCCGGAAAATAACTCCAGAAACTCACAAGATATAAACAAAATGAGGATGAAAGAAGGCAAAGAAATGTGCTCTTAAAATATTCACAATCAAGGCAAGACTTGAGACAAATAAGAGCTTTTTTAGGGTGTTGTCTAAAGAAAGCATGAAAAAATGTCAAAATCAAGAAAGCATACCCGCATTTGCAAATTGAACAAGTTGTCCGTATACGGGTTTAATAAGCTCACAGTTTAAATTAACTATATCTATCGACGGGTAGCTTTTTCAACACCTTTGGTTTTTCAGATCTCAGGGCAATTTAATCGTGTTTTAAAAGTAATCAGTCTTTGCATCTGCAGAAAAGGTTTCAAAGATTACATATTAGAGAAATAAAAAAAATTGAACAAGTTTAGAAATTGTTTCTTTTTCCTCTAACTTTCTAAACACACGGAGAAACCTGCTAAAATGGGAAGGAACAAATATTTTTATTTAATTTCAATTTACAATCGAATAACAAGCTTTCCCACGTGTTCTGTTAATAAAGAAGACAATCCAGTCACCCGGAAAATAAGGAAACCGTCTAGCGATATTTCGTTATTATTTTATCTAGTCAACCCGCTCGACACTTAACACTTGTGAAATTCTTAACACCGAAACAAAAAATCAATTTCAAAAGTGGGCGCGAGAATGAAACAAATTTTCACTAAACGCAGACAAAAACCTCTGCCAAAATCGTATCACATTTCAATGCCACGTTTTGGGAATATCACATTTTGTGGTTGGCGAGAAATGCGGTATCACGAGTATTCTACCCCGTGTACTGTCAAAATCTAAAGTAGCTAATTTTCCCGATCCGTCTTGGTGTTGTTTCGTAAATTCCAATCAAATGATATCTGATAAAAAATGCTTTTCGAAACAAGCAGTTTTGACACAAAAGGGCGGACTTCACTTCTGCGTCGAAACCACAAAAAACATTCGATACCCAGTTTTCACAAACAATATGGCTCTTCTTTAAACGAACACCAACCAATTTTCATTCTTGACATAAAACTATAAAAGTCACTTTCTATATGGTACTCGGTACACATTAAAATTAAGTGCAATGTCGAGGAGAAAAGTGCACATTTGTGACAACAGTTCTTAAAGAAGGGTTTGGTTAGTTGAATAAGTTCTGTGTTCAAAGTCAAGTTCGAGACAATTTATTCCCATATGCATGTAACCGAAAATTCCAAGTAAACATTCGTCCTCAAATCGCCAACTAGCCTCAAGCACGCTAAATCGCGTCATCGGCAGAAAGTTTCTTTAGAGAGCTTTTCACAATGACAATTTACACCGGGTTTTTCTCGATTTTTTTTCGTAAAAGAATCGAAAACGAAATTGTACAACTTCTTGCTTCAGTCACCGATAAAAGTTATCCGCTGTGGCAGAGGTGATAGAATAGAAATTCGAGACTTACCGCCAAAGGTTTCGATCCGATTGATCATGAAGGGGAAACGAAATGGGACAGTTTGAAAGTAACGATGAAACCCTACTGAAAAATATATCTGAATCAAACTTGTGAATTTTAAGAGTGAAGAAAAAATTGTATTAGCTACGTCTGGCAAACTCTGTTGAAGAAAAAAAATGCTCAAGAGACAGATTTATTTCTTAATGTTCATGTGTTTAATCTTCCAAAGATTTTACATTTCTTATGAGAGTACTCATTGATACACAAGTAAACCTTCATTTGACTATTCGTCCATGAGATAAAATTCGATACTCGGAAGAAAATCTTTACACCTTCATCGATACTCAAAGACAAAGTAAAAAGGAAATATATAATTACGTTTAAAACAAGAGTGTAAAAATGGTTGTATAATCTTAACGAGGAAGGCAAAGAGCGTGTGGGGGTACTTAAAGACAAGTTTGTCGGGTAAACAAACAACCGGAGAAATATTATGAAATGTCGAGTTTTCTAACATCAAGACAAAGCGTTTTATTTTATAAAGTGCGCGAGTTTTGTCTATACAGTAAATCCATAAAATCATATTGTGGTCTTGCTGTTTTATCGCGATTGACAAAGGCAATGATTACGTTTCGAAGTGACAACACAGGAAGGAAAATAAGCAAATCTTTCCGCTCTCTCGCAGTAATTTTCTAAACTTGCATTTTGTTGAACAAACTTGGAAGTGATGGCTCGGGCGTTTTCAGCTCGCTGTCTTCTTATTCTACTCAATTAAAGCTGGCTCGAGTCACTCTAATTTCATTAATTTGGACACCTCGCAGAAAGGGGAAATTTATTGAATTAAAAGCCATGCTATGTTCTCGATCACAAAGTGGTTTATTAACTGAAATCCATCACCTACTACGAACCTTAACAAACACCGTGGTGAAAATTAAAATTCTATTAACAGAGAGCCTCAAAATAGACAAGGTAAACTGACGCGCCTAGAAAACCTGCTCGCCATACGCGTGAAAATTTTGAGGGCTACCGATGCGTTCCTACGAAACTGAAAGTTGCACGATGTACCTTCGTAACGCAGCTGTGAGGCGGCTCGGACGCGTGCGTTAATCACCGAAGTTCTCAAAGCTAAGCTGGCCGGCCACGTTCAAGTGTGTTTCCTCTCAAGAAAAGCTTTGATCGAAATGTATTTGCGCAGTGGGGTTAAGTAGCCTTTCTGTCAAGTTCGCGGCCAAAAGAGTACGAATTAGAAATGGGAACATCTGCCCCGTTCTCGCACGGCAAATGTGCCTTTTAAAATGCTTGTCTGACGGGCTATATGATCACGTTTTAAGATGTCGGTGCTTTTGCGACTAAAAATTCTCGAGTTAAGTGTTTGAAGCCTTGTCTTACACCGACTCCAACCACTGGAAAGCTGCTTAGAAAGGCGTGGAAATGTAGAAGCACAAACAAAAAAATGTGCCGACCGGCAGAGTTTTTGTTTTCGAAATAATACGTCTAAACAGGGTGAAATTGACAAGTGGAGAATCGGTTTACACGTCATTTGCAAAAACCACGAGAAATGGACAGCATCTGAAAGATCTCGCATTTTAAGTGATGGGAATTTACATAAATTTAAATTAAACATAATTGTTACGACCGGATCGGTTTATTTCTAGCGCTTGATTTTCATGAACGATTCTGGCGAGCGCGAGAAAAAATTCACGCAAACGGGCATCGAATCAAGCCGAGAAAAAGGCTTGCATTTGAAAAGCGGCCGACAAAATAATTTTGTTTAACGGATAGCCACGCGCTGCTTTCTAAACGCTACACAAAATCTTTATTGTATGTCAATTGATGTATCCATTAGTTCTTTTGTGAAATGGCGTTTATCACTACACAGTGTAAAATTTGAATATGAATGAATCAATGATCTGTATTGTTGAATTCTTTTTTCCTGATTATCTCTGCAACGAGACCATAACACTTATCTTCAATTCGGGCTGCTGTTTAGTAAGCTAAGCGGCAGAAATCAATTCGGCGCCTCGCACGGCTGTCATTTGCTTTGTATTTCTGCGCCCAGTGTACACAATGTAATCAGTGAAAGCTTTCGAATTACTTTTCGTGACTAGGCAGCGTGTGTTTTTACGTGCTCACAGACGTCCAAACATTACCGTGTAATAGATTGTGGGCAAAACACGGCCCCTATCGAATGTCCGTTGCATTTAACCTCAATTGTAAGCCTCGAGAAAAAACCGGAATTCATTACGCGCGTTCAAAACTTCCCCAACGAATTCAACCTCACAAAAAATCAAATCTACGTCGCTAAAATACACACTTTTTCCCTGCGCTCGTAAAAAGCTCTTAAACGGAAACCAATTGCCAAAGCCGTGATTTCTGGTGATAAGCATCGGTTTACTATTTGTAGTAACATATCACCATTGTTCTTAAAGTTGCTTTCAGGGCACCCCGCAAGCAAAATACTTCGGGCCTTTAAAAAGTCCCTTCTCGACGGAACGCAACAATTCGTGGCTGCAGACGTAGATTCAAGAAGGCGACAGTTTTCTTAGAGTAAAATAAAAAGGGTTGTTCCGTTATAGCACCGTTCGACCAGCAACATCTGCGCCTGTAATTTTGTGACACTTCATAACGGTGAACATGGCACAGGAAATGTTAGAAAGAAACTGCGAACAAAATCGTTTGTCAAAGGGTCAAGTAGAATGAGGAATGAACAATATTTTAGTCTTAAGAGAAGCTGTGATCTTGTCGGTCTTACCTGTGGTGGTATCTTCGCTCCTAACGGCTTCCACGGGTTCAACAACCTCACCGTCTTCGGCGCGTCGAGGTTTCTTTTTCTTCACCAAAAATGATTTGGGCATTTTGAAAGCTGCGCTGGCCCCACGGATATTCAGCCTCTGTAAACCACGGAAACCACTTATTTCACGCTAACACAAAACTTCTCTTGATTTACCAGGCAGTCAACGAAGACGCAGAACGCTTAACGGGCAGGTAAAAACGCGCTACTGATGAGAACGGTTTCGTTGAATCCGTTTAACCGCATTCACGCTTAGCGAACCTGCCTGCCTGACTGCCCGTCCGTCGTTGGCCTAAGACCGTTACGTTGTTTGCAAGCTTATTCTTCTCTCCCCGAAGCGCGGGTGTGATCATCTGATATATTGTTACGCACCAAACAATGTTAATTAATTTATAATGTACAGCACCTATCAATCATCCACCGAGCCAACGTTGAGTCAGAAACACAGTTTAACAATGGAAAAATCAAAAAACAACAAACATTAACAAAGGCTGGAATCACGTTTAATTTACGTGGAACCCCCCAATTAAAATTTCCCATCGGGGCAGTGACTCTCGCAGCGTCAAAATTGTATCAAAACTACGGCCAAACTGCGCGTATTTCTTGGGGAAATTTACCCGGCTATCCCACACCAAAATGTTTTTCGCCACTTTCCGTATTTCGCTGATTGCGTTTGTTAGCGAGGAGGAGCTTGAATGCAAAAGCCAATTATTTCGGTTAGCAAACAAAACGTAGTACTATTTTTTCAGATAATGGAATTGTAATTCGCAAACGACAGAAAATGCTGTTAAACCTTTTGTTCCGACGAACCTAGGTGTCCATCGAATCATTATAATTATATCTTGGATGAAAAATGGTCTCACACTTTTCCCTTTCATGACCTGAAATGGAGAATCGTTCTTACGTTGAGTAAACGCCAACATATCACACGAAAGAGAAAAAAAGATGAAATTTGACATGGCAGTCGGGTTTCGTTTACTGTTTGTCTTATGTGTTTGCAAGGTTTAATTTTTAAAAGGGAGAATGAATGGTGTTTTTAATTCGTGTAAGGCGATTGTCCGTCCGAATCAATACGTTTTCAATCGAGAGCAAAATGCACTGCTAAAAAGCGATTTACTTTCGTTAATACCCTTGTGCGTTTAATATCCTTCGCCTTCATAGTAACGGACAGTAGCTTTTAACAATGCTAACGTAACGGGTGATAGCTATTGGGTTTATTTCTTGTGAACCAACTTCATTAAAATGTAAGCGAGAACTGGATGGGTTTTATGCAAATCGTCTTTCAGGGCCTCCTGTAGTTCGAAATAGTCAGCAGATAACACGATAAAGCAGAAACCACGCTTGGCAAATTCATTTCACTGGCCGCGAAGTTAATTTAATTTCACCTAAACATATTACACGATTAAAAAATGATTATTGCTACGGTGTACGGCGAATTACACGTTTGTTGAAGATGATTGACTTTCACGCTTTATGTGAGAATGAATTACAGTGTGGTTTTATGTCGAGGAAAATATTCACAATGCCGAAGAGCAAGCGAGGCAGTTGTTCATTAGACTTCGTGTCAAATAATTGACACCCAAATTTTGGATTTTTTTATTTTTTTTAAACACCGAAAAAACAATCCAGTTTTCCATTGTGGAGCTTTTTTGATTGTAAACATTACTTTCTTGGTTGAGTCGTATTATTTTTTTTCTCTCGCAAAAGATTTCAAAACAGTTTTTGAAGAAATAAAAAGGTGTTCTGCTTTTGCGAATGAAAGGAAGTAATTCAAGCTGGCAAATTCTTATTAAGGAAAGCGTGTAACTATGCCACGGCTTGAATGGAAAGCGATACGGCAGAAGACTCCCGTCGAGTGGAAAAACCACACGTCTAGAAACAAAGAACAGCGAGAAAACAATCTATACAACAAAATATAGCATGCTCATTTTGATTTTAACACTCGTCAGGGACTCCAGTATAATTTTAGAACTTAATGCTTTTCCATTCCATTCTATTCGCTCCCTGCGGAGTTTGTTATCAAATTCGAAGATCGACTAAAAGCTTTCTAAGTGAATGTTTTTCTTTCAAGCAACCGGTTCGACCGTTTTATAACAAACAAAACCTTTGGTTTTGAACAAGCACCAGCATTAATTTTAGAAACATAGAATGTTACACGATGAAAAATTCAACAGCTTAATTTCTCAGGGCGTGGTGTAGAATTTGGAGCAGGCCAAATATTTATGTTTTGCTGAAAACACTGAGGGCTCTTTCTCGCTCGCAGAATTTTATTGACGACAAATTATTTGGTCTCCACTATCTCATTAAGCCTTTTGCCTCCAGCTGTAGCGAATACATTTCAAAGCGTCTTTTAATTTTGCGGCATGGGTTATTAAAATTGTTTTACGTTGCTCGCCAAAATTACCACGGCACGCTTTGGGAATACGAAGATACTATTTAATTTTAATGCTCTCCGAGAACAATAAGAAGGATTTTTTCTCATCCTCGACAGGACTTGTCAAAGAGCAAACCAAATAGATTCAAAAAGAAGGGAAAACATGAGATTCGACGCTATAGACAGTTTAGAATACAAACGCGTTAAGCGCCACGAGAAAAATCCACATGGATAATATACACAATTTCCTAAAGCGAAACTGCAGCCATAACAATGCAAAACTAATCAAAAGCTATATTAGCTATTTAATATACCCTGCATATTGTAACAAGGACCGCCGACAAGCGAAATAACTTCACATGTTAACAGAGGAATGAGTTAATAACACAAATTGGAAATTGGTGGGGAAATTCGCGCGCGCGATGGTAGCATAATAAAAAGATTTTTTCTTTTCTGTGGCCTCCATCTTTCACGCGGAATGTAAACAGTGGAACCAATAACACTAAGATAGTTGATACAGGTTTCCTTTTAACTAAACCAGGATGTCTATTCGCTTACGCTCAAGATGTGAGCAGATGGCAGATGTAAACATTAGCTACTTAAACCGCGGAAAGCAGTTCGATATAATACTCGATTCTATCGGCGTAAACAATCTTATTGAGGGTTTGTTTACAACCCATTTCGCGATCGCGGCATCCTCGCGTGAACGCGAACGAACCCGTTGACAATTTAACGAAAGAGCATGTCAGACTTTTTCGATAACCAATGTTTTGATATTCTGCCGACTTGTCAACGGCGAAAAGCTCATGTTCTTTAATATGCACGCAATGTATGGTCAAGAAACTAAATTTCTATTAAAATTCCCTCCTTTACTTGACAGCTTGGCACGGAGTCTGTTTCAAGCTTTTAAAAAACTTTTCCAATTTTCCCTATCGAAGGCGCGAAAGTGCTCCGCCAAAGGCCTTGAACTCTGATGGCGTGCATTTTACTGCCGACGTAACTCGAGAATCCGCCTAAACCGGACAAAAATACTCGACATTGCTAAATGGAAGACTTTCAAGTGGCTTGGGGTTTTTTTCTTTTTTTGACAGCACAGAAATCACGAAAGAAATATTGCAAGCATTTCACATTGACGACGCTTACGAACCCATCAAATTTGTCTTTCAACCCCACCGTCTTCGACCTTTGGCTTTCTTCCTCGCATGAACTCTTTTTTTATTAACGGTTCGATGCTTTTGAAAGTGTTAATGCTAATCCTTTGTCCATAATCTTGTTTGAGGTCAAGATGTGGACATTCCAGTTCGATAAGGGATCTCCTGGAACGAGCTAGACACCTAAAAAGCTATTTACAACGTGAAAGAAAAACAAAAGTTCAACATAAGAGTCTCAATCGACAATGCGTTGGACGATTTCAATAATTAATACTATGCACAAATTTGCACCCACAGAAATATAGCTGTCTGTATGTGTAATAACTTGATCGTTCAGTTGGAGCAGCAATTCTGACAGAGTTAGCAGGCGTGCTTTCGATGTTCGCTGGCTGAAAATATGAAAGGGCATTGAGAAAACATATCACAAACTCACATTTCATATGGTCTTCCAATCGTTGCAAATTTCCCTTACACTTCGTCTCTAAACTGTACAGGCTAATTATGAAGAGGACGAAGAAAAATGCCTTATTTATTTTACGACGAACGATCAAAGTCATCAGCAATTTGAAGATTCCAAAATAAAATTAAAAACTTCATAAGTGAAGATAATTCTTCCATAAACATTTCGGAGATTATTCAAACATTAATCGCTCTAGTACTGATGAGAAATAAAAGACGGGAATTTTCCACGTAAGCATGACAAGAATTTCGATAAGGTTTTGAAGAAAAATCGGAAATCATGATTCATGATGTGCGAGCATCACTCGAGGGAGAAATTCCATCCAAAATCTTCTTTTCCAATGGATGTTCTCAACGCAGAACACCGTTTTATTTGAATTCATCTTGCGTTTGTAGTTTCAGGAAATCATCAGGCTCCAAGCTGAAACACATTTCACAAAGAATACAAAGAACGGTGGTCTTTCAGGGACACTTTAGAACAGGAAAAAGAAAATCATACTAATTCCTTCTCGAAACTGGTATTCGATTTCAACCGCAAAGAGGATATTAACTAAAACGTGTTCTCTTCTTTCGGTTAAATTTCAATAATCTTCTTTCCTTAATTATCAGAAAGACTGATCTGTTTTAGTCCTTTTAAACGCTATGCGAAAAAAAAACACACACACTCATACACACACACACAAATCGAAAACTGAAAGAAGGGGCCCATCTTAAAATCTATATCATACCCATGCGAAAAGCTTCTCTGGGGAAATATTTTTTTCTCCAGATTTTTCGACGCATTAAGGGTCGCCGTTTCGTCAAACTTACCGAGTTTTCTAATCATGAAAAGCCTGCCTTTTTTTACGCATCACTGACAACAAACCGGAATATTTTAAGCAGGAACAAATTTATTGCTTAGTTTTTCTTCATATTAACAAATTTCGATTAAATGGAGTTTTATACCACGGAAGGGGAAATGAGATTTCGGTATTAAAGGAAACTAGAATTTAAGAGCAATATAGAGTACGTCAAAAGATATACGCACAGATTGCATGGTAATTTTTCAGTTTTCAGGAAGAAACGCGAGAAGTTAAAGCGATAACGTTAGGCCATTTTCCTTAACAATACGCCCCCATGGCGTAGAGATACGATATTTAAACACTAGCGCGGAAAGTCTAACAGAGAGATACGGGTATTTATTTTTTTGACGAGTAGATAAGTAAACGATTTCTTCGTCGGCTGACAAAAAAACGAACATCTGAAAAAGGCGCTTTTTGAGCCGACTTTGTATGGAAAATTCGTAACGGTGACAGAAGTTACTAATGGTGAATAAAACCAGTTATAAACGTTGCTAGAGCAAGATCTAGAGAAAATCCCCGGCATAGAAATATTGCGTGATCAAGACGGCTGAAAAACACCGAAACCCAAGCAGAGCTATTAACACATAGCGGAACATTTGTCGCGACATTAAGACGTGATCTTGGCCTTTTCCCCTCTTGAGACAAGAGGAAGTTGAATGAAATTTAACTTGCCAAGGCAAGAACACGAAAAGAAGAGAAATGAACAAAGAAGTTTGTTTACCGCATCCAAGGGTGAAAATGGCCGCAGGCGGACTTGTTGGCGACAGCCAGCAACAATGACTGAAGCCTCCGCGAATACCTGCTGCTCCATTGCCAAAGGATCATGTCTTGTCATAAGATGACTCTAAAAATGTGGCCACTTTTTATCCTCTATAGTATAACCTAGTTCGTGGTTAAAGTTGACAGAGTCTTTGACATGACAGAAGAGCTCTCGAAAAATAATAATAAAAAAAAACACATTAGCAAGTGTTGATCGCGGAATTATCGCGAGGATGTAAGTGGCCTGCCCTCGTGGCTGATAAACTTGGAAAAGCAGCGAAGGCCGCAAATGTGTAGTATGTTTATCTGGTTGTTGTCTGACGGGTGACCTTGAAATTTTACATTTATGAATAGCTTTTTGTCAAAACACATCTCCTATCATCTACTTGGTGTTTTCGACCATAAATAAAGACGTAAAGCTGCAGTCACTGACGGCGTGAAATTTTCTCGTCGTCAACTGATGCAAATGAACATTTATTGCCTACCACGAAAATCATCAAGTTAGTGATGTCTTGGTGTAATAAAAATTGTGCCCCGGGAAGTAAGCAGGGGTTTGCTGCATGCTGGGTAATTTTATGTCGTGTCGGTCCTTCCGAACAGTGAAGCTCTTGCATTTTATAGATTTCATTGAAATTTCTCTAACATGTTGAAAGCACTTTTATCCAAG